CCTCCCCTTGCCCCCATTCTTACTTCTGTAACCCACTGACTGGTGAGCACTTTATTGACAAGTTAGCTCTTCTCTAGCCTTTAGTAAACCCAAAAGCCGCAAGGCTGGCCAGGCTAATTGCATCAGTTGGAGACAGGAGTGGATTTTCCTAGAATTGGGGCAGGGGTGTGAGAGGGAGGAAATTGGGCGTGGGACTGGACCGGGAACATTGGCCAACTTCCTGGGTCTATTCTGGTCAGCCCTTCATGCGGGGCCTTCGGAACAGCTCAGTTAGTAGCAGAGTCTCTGAACAGCAGAGACTCCTATTCCCAAGTAAGTAGGGAAGGCCAGGGCCCTGAGGTGACCTGATGCCACCAGGGCAGAAGTTCTGCCCCCTCTACTAGTAGAAGCAGCTGTGCCTGTGCTGGTCTTTCGGCCCCTGGAACCCCAACATCCTCTGTTTGGGGCAGTGGTGCTTTGGCTTGGAAGAGCCTGTTCAGTTCAACTCCCCCAGTCCCTCTGAGAGGGGACTGAAGCCCCCAGTGGCTCAGTGATTTCAGGAGGCCGTTATCTGATGGGTAGCACTTGCTGTTTCCATCTGCCTGGCTGAGATTTTGCTTGTCTAAAGATTCATTTATTTCCTTATTTGGAAGACAGAGTGACAGAGAGAGACAGAATGAAGGACAGAGAGAGAGAGAGAGAGAGAGAGATTCTGTACCTGTTGATTCATTCCCTAAATGCTTGCAACTGCTGCGGCTGGGCCAGGCTGAAGCCAAGAGGTTGGCGCTCCATCCAAGTCTCCCACATGGGCGGCAGGGACCTAAGTATCTAGCCCATCATCTTCTGCCTTCTGCTATCCTAGGCACATAAGCCAGAAGTTGGATAGGAAATGGAGCAACTGGGACATGCGATGCCAGTGTCCCAGGCAGTGGCAGAACCCTACCCACCCAGGAACCAAGCTTTCCAAAGCTGAGAATCTTCCAGTTCCGGCTCAGCTGCCTCTTCTTCCCTGGGAGAATGACTGTGTTTGGAGTTGGGTCTTTCCCTGGGGAGCTGTTGAAAGGCAAGGTCTGACTCGGTGGGGCCTGAGAATCTGCATGCTCCTGGGTGCTCCCCTGTTGCTGAGAAGCAGGGCTTGTTTCTTTGTTTTCTTCCTAGGGCATGGCACAATGTGACACAATCTTGTTTGTCAGTGTGTGAGTTTGCTTTGGCTTTCTCCCCGCTGGACACACACTTGCCCTCACCCACTTGTGTTCCCAGGCCCAGCACGGGGCTGCCACGTGATAAGCTCCCAAAACATGAGTTCCTCCAAGTAATAAGTTTGGGCTTAAGAGCAGGGGCTGAGTGATGAGCTGGATCTCAAGATGGAAGGCTCCTGACCCATGACCCCAAATGTTCCCCGAGCAGGTCGGGCCTGGAGTAAGGGTGTGAAGACAAGCAGCCTCAGGCCCATCAGATGATGTATGTGTATCAAAATCTTTTTTTTTTTTTCAACTGTAAAGCTTGTCCCAGTTTTGGCCTGAGTCCATTCTGTAGCTGCCTGGCTCGTGCCCAGCCAGGGTGACTTGGTGTCTGGCAGTTTCAGCCACTGTTTGATTGTCTTCCTCTGGCACCACAGGTATATGTTGTTCCTGGCCTGGTCCTGGAGGGCCTTGACCCTGCTGTCTCTGGGGCCAGTTCAGTTTCTCCAGCTGGGGCCATTCAAGGATTCGGAGGTCGAGGGTCATTCGCATTTTAAAAAGCACCTCCCGCAGCCTCAGTTTCCCCACAGGAGAGCAGGAAGGCACACTGGGAAACTGAATGAAGTTTGGTATCTGGTCTTGCCCCTTTGCTGGGATTTTCCCTGCACTAACTCAGCTCGACCGGTAGCCCCTCCGCCCTGGGATGTGGCTAGACAACGAACTCCACTGTCCCACTGTCCCCATGAAAGCAGCCTGCATTCTCCCTCTGCCCTTCCCCCACAGTGCCTCCAGAAGGCGCCGGACTCCTCTTTCCCCTGAGGCCCACTGTCTTGTATAACAGCTGGTAGGAGCATTTTCTCCTCTGCCTTCTGCCTGTCAGGGACCTCAGGGCAGTCTGGATTTGCAGATGGCTGCCTGGCTGAGCCTGCTCAGATGGACTTCAGGCCTCCTCCTGCCTTCTGCATTCACCCCACTCATTCATTCATTTTCCCTTGTTCTCCCATTCACTTCTTCAGCCCCTCTTATTTCTTCTGGCTTCCTACAGCATTCAGATACAGCTGGAGGCAGAGCCAACGGAGGCACGAGGGTGGCTGTGAACTCACGAGTCCCCCAATGTCTGACCTGGAGAGGCCTTAACAGAGGTCAGCCCTTTTGGTTTTCCAGATGAGGCAAACGAGGCCTGGGGAGGTCCAAGGCCACCTGAGGCCACTGGGCAAAAGAGGCTGGAGGCAACTGCTCCCGGGCCCTCCTGGTGTGCCCTCTGCGCCACTGCCAGCTCACTCAGTCCTGTGCGCAAGAACAGCATGTTTGTTAATTCTGAGTCACTAACCCTGGAGCTGGATGGCAAACACAAACTAAGGCATAGAGTAATGCCCTTGGGGCCCGGATGTGGTGTCCGGAGTTACCCAATCCAGGCGGCCACTAGGGTCTTCCAGCAGAAATCTCTGGTCTCTTTTCTCCTTCCTTCCTTCCTGCCTTCCTTCCTTCCTTCCTTCCTTCCTCCCTTCCTTTCTTCTTCCCTTCCTCCCTTCTCTTTCTTTATTCCTTCCTTTCTTCTTTCTTTTTCTTTATTCTTTTTCTCACTTTCTTTTTCTAATTTATTTCCTTTCTTCTTTCCTTTTTCTTTCTTCCTTTCTGCCCTCCCCACTCCCACCCTGTTTCATTATCGCACTGGGCCCCACAGCATCAAGTCTTGTGCTGTACGTAATGCTCAGTGATCTTGAACGTTGGGGAAAAGGGGCTCCTGCTCAACTTCCTTTGCTTTTTAAAATATTATTTATTTATTTCAAAGTCAGAGTTACAAAATGAGATGGAGAGACAGAGATCTCCCACACTCCAATCCACTTCCCAAATAGCTGCAACAGCTGGACTTGGGCCAGGCTGAAGCCAGAAATCAGGAGCTTCTTCTGGGTCTCGCATGGGGATGCAGGGATCCAAGCACTCGGCCCATCCTCTGCTACTTTTTCAGACGCATTAGCAGGGAGTGGAATTGAAAGCAGGGCAGCCAGGACTCAAACTAGCACCCACATGGAATGCAGGCATTGCAGGCTGCAACCCTACTGGCTGCACCACAACACTGATCCCACTCTCAGCTTCTTGAGGAGCAAACATTTGAAGAACTTTTTCACTCACAAAAGTCAAAACCAAAAAATACTACAGGGTTGGAAGTGAAATAATCAAATGTTTACTTAAGTTATATTAACACATTTAACTCAATGTGTTAATTTAGAAAAATTGAAGTTTGCTACTCACAGTTGAAGAAACAATTTTATGCAAAATTCTTCACTCTGCTGATTGAGGTAATATTGGGTTATGCTTTTTGTGTATGGTAAAGTAGTGGCTAAATCCTCGCCTTGCACACACCAGGATCCCATATGAGCACCTGTTTATATCTGGGCTGTTCTACTTCCCATCCAGCTCCCTGCCTGTGGCCTGGGATAGCAGTAGAGGACAGCCCAAGGCCTTGGGACCTTGTACCTGCATGGGAGACCCAGAAGAAGCTCCTGGCTTCAGATTGGCTCAGCTCCAGCCATCGCAGCAACTTGGGGAGTGAACCAGTGGATGGAGGATTTTTCTCTGTCTCTCTCTACATATCTGCCTTTCCAATAAAAATAAAATAAATCTTTAAAAAAAAGTAGTGGTAGTGAATCAGCACCCCTTGTGATGAAGACTGTCTCAAGAGCATGGCGTAAGCACTTCTGAGCTCCTTGTTCCACTTCAGTGCTCTTTGCCCTATGCCACACTGGCGACTCTCCTCCCTTGCTCATTCTATACCTGAGGCACCCTAGATGGAAGAATTGAGCTGTGTATTAAGAGACTATGCGTAGGGCCTGGCATGGTAGCCTTAGTGACTAAAGTCTTCATCTTGCACATGTTGGGATCCTATATGGGTGCTAGTTCCAATCCTGGCAGCCCCGCTTCCCATCCAGCTCCCTGCTTGTGGCTTGGAAGAGCAGTCAAGGACAGCTTGAGGCTTTGGGACCCTGAACTTGCTTGGGAGACCCAGAAGAGGCTCCTGGTTCCTGGCTTCGGAACAGCTCAGCTTTTGCCAAAGCGTCCACTTGGGGAGTGAACCAGAGATGGAAGATCTTCCTCTCTGTCTCTTCTCCTCTCTGTATATCTGACTTGCCATTAGAAATAAACAAAATCTTTTTTAAAAGAGGCTATGCCTAGAGGCTGGTATTGTAGTGCAGTGTATCAAGTCACCACCTGACACTTGTATTGCATATGAGTGCCAGTTGAACCCTAGCTGCTCCACTTCCAATCCAGCTCCCTACTAACATGCCTGGGAAAAGCAGTGGAACATGAAGTGCTTGGGACCCTGCCACACACACATGGGAGACCACTTGGCATTTTAGGTTTCTGTCTTTAGCCTGGTTCAGCCCTGGCCATTGGGGAATGACACAGTGAATGAAAGATTTCTCTTTCTCCCCCATACTCTCTAACCTCTCCTTTCAAATAAATTTTTAAAAATAAATAAAAAAGACTACCCCAAGCAGGCAGCAAAGAGGCAGCTTAGTCTTAAATGACCTTATTGCCTTCAGGTCAATGGCCCAATTGTTGAAGTTTGGAAAAGCTTCCCTCTAACTGGCTCCACCAGCTGCTGAAGGAAGAGCTAGGCTCTCACTCAGGCTGTCATGTAGAACCGAAATGACAAGCAAAGGCTGCCAGGTCTGTCCCTGGGCAGACAATCACCTGATATAGACGCTGGGGCCCAAGCTCTGGGATTGGCTCAAAACAGAGCTGCGTTGACCCAACAACTGGGCCTTGGCATCCTATCAATTTGTCGTCAGCTCCAGAGCCTAGAAATAGTGCTGGGGCAGTCTCTTGATCTCAGCCTGTCAGAGGGAGCAGCCATGCAGGTGCTCACAAAGCGCTACCCCAAGAACTGCCTGTTGACTGTCATGGACCGCTACTCGGCTGTGGTGCACAACATGGAACAAGTGGTGATGATCCCCAGCCTTCTGCGTGACGTACAGCTGAATGGGCCTGGGGGCCGAGCACAGACGGGGGCCCCTGATCTCTACACCTACTTCACCATGCTCAAGGCCATCTGTGTGGATGTGGACCATGGGTTGCTGCCCCGGGAGGAGTGGCAGGCCAAGGTGGCAGGTGGCGAAGTGGAAGAGGCTGAGAATGAAGCTGCTGAGACGGAGGAGGCTGAGGAGGAGAGGATCTCAGGGGAGCTGGACCTGGAAGCCCAGTTCCATCTGCACTTCTCCAGCCTCCATCACATCCTCACCCATCTCACTTTGAAAGCACAGGAGGTGACGAGGAAATACCAGGAAATGACGGGACAGGTCCTGTAGGCCTTGGACTCTAGGGAAGGTAACGGTGACCATGCTAGTGGGTGTCTGAGTCCACCAAGGGACATTACAGGGGAGGAGAGGGAATGTTGGTCCATCTCAGTGCATGATGGGCAGCTTGGCTTTCAGTGACCCTCGTGTTTTGGGATTACTACCTGGGAGGGCCCACGACTGAGCCTACCTTTCTATCTTCTGACCCAGAGGTGGTAATAGAAGTAAACTATTACAGACAAAAAGTGGCCTGTGGATGTGCAAAAAACATGTTTGTGCACATGTGCATTTATTAATGACTATGTGTATGTTTGTTGAATAAATGTGTTCTCCCGACTTCATTATGAATCTGATCAAAGGAATGGAACCTCTGCGGAGCTGAGCCAGACTGTAACTGTCTTACATCAGGGCACATGCCCCTTCTACGCCTAGAAGCTTTCATTTGAGAGCAGAGTACCAGCACCGCCACTAAGTACTTGCAATTTAATCTTTACCTAATAATCCCACAAAGATTTTTTTTTTTTTTAAACAAATGAAGACTTACCCAAGGCATGTGTATCTTCTTAGGTGCACTATTTGAATTGTGAGTGGTTGTTCTTTTCAACATTTTTTTCAAGAAATAGAACACTGGAAAGTATATAAACCTAGCACACGGAGGTCTTTAGGTGAGGCTGCCTGGTGCCCCTGGCAGGCCATGCTAAGCTGCAGTCAATCAGTGGGAAGGCCAAGGGAGCATGGGACTCTAATCTGGCCCAGGTACATCCAAGTGTGCATGCTTGCCTACTGAGAAGCCCTGTTGTGTGTGCACATGTGTGTTAGAGTCTGCTCCTCTATGTCCATGCACAGAGAGGTGTGGAAGGGCAGCAAGCTAGAACAGCAAGGGGCTGTGGGAAGCAGACCTAGCTCTGTCACGCGTGGACAGATTGTGAGAAACTAGGCTACGGCAGCTGCCAGTTTTGACCCTGTGCTAATGACCAATTGTGTTCTTCAAGAATAAGTTACACCCACATGCACTGGCATCTCAACCACCTGATGTAGGTATGAAGGGTAAGGTTAGCCTTCTTGGCTCATAGTAAGGAAGTGAAAGCCAGAGAGGTGAAATGACTCACCAGAAGACACACAGTAAGATGAAACAATACTAGTCCTGATTTTGTCACACTTATCTCTACCCCAGTGTTTCCATCGTAATGTGTCTGTGGCTCCTAGACACAAAGCTGACAGAGTTCTGCTCCGGATTCATTCTCAGCCATTTTCCCTTTAACATCAAACCTTAGTGGCCATCTGCCAGCCTGCTCTCCTTTCCCCTTGAGGCTTCCTGGGGTGCCTTCCAGAGGCTCTTCCTGAGTTCGGCTGTGCATGAGGACTTGGAGGGGGCACTTTTCTTGTGTGGGTTTCAGTTTCTTCATTAAATATTAACAATAGCAGTAAACGAAACAATTGTCACAGGAATCATCTTGTGTCCCACCCTTTTCTGCTGTCCTAGCTGACATTTTATTTGCCCAGAGCCTTGAGATTCTGCAGCTTCGGCTGGGGGTGGGATTTGGGGATGACACTGCCTGACTAACCAGCTTGCAGAGTGCAGTAACTCCCCCTCAAAAAGCCCCAGCACGCCCTAACTAGACCATTTCTCTTGGGGGTTGCATTACTGAAACGGCTGGGTTCTTGCTCTGACCCTGCCCTTGACCTCTATTAGGACTTCAGAAAACTTATTCCCTGCAGCTCAGCTTCCTTTAGCAAAATGTAAGGAAACAGATTAGTTATTCCAACTTGAATTACCTAGGATTTTCCTTATAGGGCTGAACCACTGCGTGTTCTAGAAAAAAAAAATTTTTTTTAAACTTTCTTCTTTATTTGATAGGCATGGGAGGACACCCTGGTTGTTGGACTTCATCTATGCAATAGAAGACGGACTCTACGAAGGACATGCAGCTGTTTGCTAGCTCTGACAACGAGATCAGAAAAGCCTAGGCCTGCAGCAGGAAGTGAAGTCAAGCAACTTTGGTCTCTGATCTGCTTCCCTACCTGCCTCTGCACACTAATTTGCAGACTCTAGTCACTGGCTCACCTTTAGGATGTTGCTATTCATAACTCCCTTGCTCCTCTTATGGGCTTGGGATGGTACAGTAGTCAGCTTTCATCACTTTCTATAAAAATACCTGATAGGAGCGTCTTCAGAAGGAAGGTTTGTGGTTTGGAGAATCACAGGCCAAGATGGATGGGAGAATCACAGGCCAAGTGGTTCAACATCTGGAGCAGCCAGAGCTTGGTGGAGGGATATTACACGGCTAACCAGGAAGAAGGAACAAGGAGACTCATCTGTTCTCTGTGGTCTCATAATGCCATCACAGTTGAATTCCTGGGCACCACCTCATTGGCTTTATAAAATCCAATCATTTCCCTAAGGCCCCAGCTTCAGACACAACTGGATGAAACCTCCGACCTTACCAACAAACTGTTTATCTATTACCTAAAGCTTTGGAGCTTCTTAGGTTTGGGGAGTTACGTGCTGTTCAAACCTTACAGGTGGCTCATGTGGGACAAGTTACCTATCTTCTGATATGGTCAAGAACATAGGTGTTAGTTTGTGACCAAAACTCACATCCCTCTTCTTGGCAATCATTCACTGTGGAACCTTGGGCAAAAAGTAAAACCCTCAGAGCCTAAATTCCCTCATTTGTAGAATGAGGATATTATCTACCTCATATTGTTACAGATATTAAAGATGATGAGAAGCACCTGGCGTGTGAGAGCTAACAGGCTGAGTTTTCTCCCTACTCATTCATGTATTTGTTCCAGCCCTTGTTTTTGCTCTTCAGAACTAACAGGGAGTAGAGTCCCTTGGAATGAGTGTTTCACCCTATTGTATCTGCTGACCACAGATGAGAAGCACAGGTGAATTTGAAGCCTATTTATTGCAGAACCAATAAAAAAAATTTGCTTGTATTTGTATATCTCTTTATTTCTAAAGCACTTATCTCTAACACGATTTCACGTTTTATAAGCAGTTATCAAGAGAACAGATTGGGGAAGGTGGGTGGCATAGTGGGGCATGGGACATGCATATTCTCCCATCCAAGTTCCTGGTTAGCATCCTGGCCACTGTTTTTAGTCCAGCTTTGTGATATTGCACCTGGGAAGGCAGCAGATAAACCAAGTATCTGGGCCCCCATCACCCACGTGAGAGACCAGGATGGAGTTCTTGGTTCCTGGCTTTATCCTAGCCCAGTTCAGCTGTTGCAGCCATCTGGGGTGTGAACCAATGGGTAGATCTCAAACTCTCTCCCCATCATTTATCTTTTAACTAATTAAATAAACCTTCAAAAATAGAGTACATTTTATTTCCCCCAGAAACAATCTGCTTATGGTTCACAATGTCAACCAACCTCAAATTCTGTATAGACAAACAATTTCATTAACCTCCAAAAATGGATTCCACTTTAAAATCAATTTGAAAACAAAAATTTGGGGGGCAAGCATCTGGATTTGATGAAAACCATAGGGAACAAACTCATTCTGGTCTGGCATGGTCTTTCCCGTTCATACAAGTTCCACTATAAACTATGACAGCTACCAAGTCCATCTGCTTGCTCTAACAGCAAAGACCTTTATATCAGAGTTTTGCTCTGACTTAAGTTGTCCTCTTCCCATCACCCTCTATAGAGTTGCAGAGAGCTCAGAAATAAAAATTGGACCATGTTATTCCCAGTAAATCCTTGTGTTGACCTTTCAATGTCTTTAGGACTCAGTCAAAATTATTCTGCATCACTTACAGAACCCTCCATCATCTGGCTTTGTATTTGCTTGCACAAGAATGGGAACATGCTATCTTTTCCTGTAAAAGGTCAGATATGAACAATTTTAGGATTTACAGGTCATAATGAGTCTATCATGTCTATTCAACTTGGTTGTTGTGGCTTGAAAGCAGTCACAAACAACATACAAATGAGCATGGCTGCACGCCAATCACACTTCACTGGCAATGAACCAGATTTGACCCTCAAGATTTGACATCCAACTCCGAAGTAAACTCCATTTAAAAATTTTTCAGATGTCTTCTTAAAACTGGAAAAACAGAAACTACACATTTTCTTTTTTAAGATTTATTTATTTTTATTGGAAAGGCGTATCAGATTTTTGGAGAGAAGAGACATCTGGAGCTAACACCCAGAGCTGAGCCAATGTGAAGCCAAGAGCTTCTTCCAAGTCTCCCACATGCATGCAGGGTCCCAAGGCTTGGAGCCATCCTCCACTGCTTTCCCAGGCCATAAGTAGGGACCTGGATGGAAGAGGAGCAGCCGGGAGATGAACTGGAGCCCGTATGGGATTCTGGCACTTGCAAGGTGAGGATTTAGCCAGAGGCATTGCGCTGGGCCTTCTTTTAAAATTTTTAAATATTTATTTTGTATTTGAAAGGCAGATTTACACAAAGAAATAGAGAGAATAATCTTTCATTTGTTGGTTCATTCCCCAAATGGCCACAACAGCTGGAACTAAGCCAGTCTGAAAAGCAGGAGCTTCTTCTGGGTCTCCCTCGCAGGTGCAGGAACAAGGCCTTGAGGTATATCTGCTGCTTTTCCAGACAGAAAGTGAAGTAGCCAAGACTAGAAACAGTGCCCATGTGGAATGCCAGTGCTGGCAGGCTGAGGACTAGCCTGTTGAACAACTGTGCTGGCCCCACATTTTTTTTTTTTCCGTAAGACTTCTATCCGGATCTCCTACATGAGTACAGGGACCCAAGCACTTGGGCCACCATCTCCTGCCTCCCAGGCACATTAGCAGGGAACAAGATAGTAAGTAGGGTAGATTAGACTTGAACTGGCATTTCTTTTTTCTTTTTTAAAGATTTACTCATTTTTATTGCAAAGTCAGATACAGAAAGGAGAAGAGATAAAGAGGACGACCTTTCCTCTCATGATTCACTCTCCAAGTGACTGCGACGGCCGGTGCTACGCAGAACTGAAGCCAGGAGCCAGGAGCCAGGAGCTTCTTCTGGGTCTCCCACACAGGTGCAGGGCCCCAAGGCTCTGGGCCATCCTCGACTGCTTTCCTAGGCCACAGGCAGGGAGCTGGATGGGAAGTGGGGCCGCTGGGATTAGAACTGGCATCCATATGGGATACCAGGAATTTTAGCCACTAGGCTATCACGCCGGGCATTTCAATAAGGCATGTGGGGGTCATAGGAGGCAGCTTAACCTGTGCTGTTATGCCCAGCCAAACCAGACCATTTTCTGATGCGCTGTTTTTCTTAAGACAAAAAAAGGAGTCAGAGTACTCACAACCACTTTAATTAGAGGTGTTAACATATACATTAACATTCCATAAAACTCAGAAGTAGCTGGTTATCAGTGAACCTGCAGCAAGCACTTTGAAGAGTTCAGCGTATAGGATGGAATTCCTCAAGAATTTCACCATAGGTTTTCTTGTCTATGAAAGGAAGAGATCACAAAGGATTAATTTTGTTTCAAAAACTGAATTTCATTACAAAAACTTAACATTCAATAATTTTATTGATAGAAACTCTGCTTGGTCTAAATGTTTGTGTTCCCCAGATTGGTAATTCCCTCTGTGATGGTATGCAAAGGTGAGTCCTCACGAACGGGGTTAGTCCCTTTAAGAAAGAGGCTGGAAGAAGCCTGACCTTTCTCTCCTACCACTGGACGATGCACAGAGGAGTCACCTTGAAGCAGAATGAGCCCTCAACAGATACTGAATCAACTGGCACCTGTTCATGTCTTGATCTTGGACTTGTCTCCAGAGCTGTGAGCTACAGATGTCTACTGTTCAGATAACCTGATCTAAAGGTCTACAGGTACAGCAGCCCAAATGATGAAGACAAACCCCTTATTTTCTTGTACTCGACTACGATTTGGCAACCATTGAGAGACTATTTCACTGAATACAGGGTAACTGCAGACATCTGTGGTGATGTCCAGATGGCTGCCAGGAGAGGCAAGGTGTTGCTAGGCGTATCCTGGATAAAAGGGTCATGGGACAGGTCAGTACAAGAGCCCAATGACTGACGTGGCTAAGCTCGCCATGGCCCTGCCCTCCTAGCACATCTGTCAGGATCCTGCTGCTCAGAAACAGAAAGAGTCCTGCAGTTCCACGTGTTCCTCCTGACAGGGAACCAATGGATCTACTTCTCAGAAAAAGCCAGAGTTGGGATGAGGACTGCTCAGCTGGTGGGTCTCACAGTACTTCCAAGATTCCCTCCATCTCTAACAAGCCATGTTTCTGAGTATCTCCTATTCCTGACACATCCCATAGCCGCAGCTTTGAACTAGTCTTTAAGTTTTTCGTTGGCAAAAAAAAAAAAAAAAATCAGAATCATTTGACCCATGCTAAATATCAGAAATGTGACTAAAGGTCACAGGAATCTTAAATGGAATAAAAAATTTTAGCGCCAAATAGACCTTAGAGAAATTTAATGTAATAAAATTTAAGTACTTAGTATATTACAAATTTATGACTAGGAAAATGCAGCAACATAAAACCTTTTTACATATTAACAAGTTAAAAAATGTCCTACATTCATTTATTGACTCATTTATATATTTAATATGGATTTGTATGATACTGTATAGCTCCTAGGGAGAAAAAATTTAGCAAATTAAACTACCAGTTCACAAAGAGCTTACATATCCTATGTGTACATCTGTGTTTGTATGTATGTGTGATATTGATAATTGAATAGAGATTCGTGTGCTGAGGAAATTTCCATCTGATGCTGAGCAAAGGCTTCACTGAGATGATTCATTCTGAGCAGGAATATGTGGACAGAATGGAAAGAGAGGCAAGAACATACGAGAAACAAAGTCTAACACATGCCAAATCATACAGCGTAGGCTCAGACAGGCACTTCGCAAGGCAAGAGGCAAGTGACGGGAGATGCGGCAGGTTCCGTGCAGCTCGGGTCAGCGGCTACCCACCAGTGTCTACTCTGTGCAAGCTCTGTGCTTGAGGGCAGGGGAGCAAAAATGAAGCTCCAGTCCAGGGAGGGGCACAGACACAGGCAGAAAACACAGTAGACAAATATACAAGGCATCAACTCAGCCTGGAGAGAGGAGCCATCTGAAGGAGTCTGGATTTTCTCCTATAGATAAGAAACCCTTAAAAAATTGTATGGGTATTTTTGCCAAAGAGATTTGAGCAGATTTGCTGTTAGCATACGACTAGTCTGACAGATTCTATTTGAACCACAGTAGAGTAGAAGGGGGAGAGACAGATTTCAAAGTTAAGAAATAGTTAGGAAATAAAGTTTATACAGCTTGATGACTAGCAGAGAGTGAAAGACTTGGAGATGACGCCTAGGTGTCTGGCTTGGGTGTGCAGGGGACAGCAGTGCCTGCCCTTCATGGAAGTAAAACAAAGATGAGCATATGGGGCGGGAAGGCAGAGAGCACTTGGATTTTGTTTCCTGTCCAAGAGTCACAGAGATAACTCAGTCAGATACTGGGCAGAGGAATTCAACGGAATTCCCATTCACAAACAAAATGGGGGCATCAACAGGACATATATAAGTCCTGAAGCCATCGGCATAGCCAAGATCAGACAGGGGAAAGAGTACAGAGTGAGGATACAGGGTTTTTATAATAACTTGAATTACCTTTTTCAGGAAAATCTTCTGGATGTGAATTCACATACCCAAACATGTCACGGTCCCTCACAGCATACATATAGTCTTGACGCTTTAAAAGATAATAGCCAGCAAAAATAAAGGAAGTCACATACAGAAGCTGGCGATGCAAACCTGAAATTCAAATGACAAACCCCAAAGAAAACAAATTCAGTCAATGTGTATTAAGAACTGCATTTTTACACTTCAGACACAACTTATTGCTATTGCTATAGTATTTCTCCAATACTCTTTCATTTAAAAACAGCTGGTTTGGTGCCATGGCTTAGTATGCTAAGTCTCTACCCATGGTGCTGGCATCCAATATGGGTGCCGATTCATGTCCCACTTGCTCCACTTCTGATCCAATTCCCTGCATACGGCCTGAGAAAGTAGCAGAGGATGGTGCAAGACCTGGGCTCCTGCAACCATGTGGGAGACCTGTAAGAAGCTCCAGGCTCTTGATTTCGGATTGCTCAGCTATGATCATTGTGGTCATGTGGGGAGTGAAGCAGTGAATGGAAGATCTCTCGCTCTCTGTTTCCTTCTCTCTGGGTAGTTCTGCCTTTCAAATAAAAATAAAATTAATCTTTGTCCCAGCACAGTAGCCTAGTGGCTAAATCCTTGCCTTGTATCAGCCAGGATCCCATACGGGTATAGGTTCATGACCTAGCTGCTCCAATTCCAATCTAGCTCCCTGCCTTGTGGCCTGGGAAAGCAGTCGAGGACGGCCCAAAGCCTTGGGACCCTGCACTCATGTGGGAGACCTGGAAGAAGCTCCTGGCTTTGGATTGGCTCAGCTCTAGCTATTGTGGCCACTTGGGAAGTGAATCAGTGGATGGATCTTTCTCTTCTTCTATATAAATCTGACTCTCCAATTAAAAACATCTAAAATGTAAAATAAAACAAAAATAAATCTTAAACAAACAAAACTAGTTTTCCTAAACATCCTTAACCTTTAACATTGAAACATCCTATATCTTTTAAAGAATTCTGTCAATTCTGAAAAGCAGAAATTAAAACTGGCAACATAACTTTTAATAGAACACAAGACTTTATGTTTTGTTTATGAAATTTTGTTTATTTGAAAGGCAAACAGATGGAGAAAGAGTCAGAGATCTCTTTTCTGCTGGTTCACTCCCTATTCCACTTGGGGAGTGAACCAGTACACGGATCTTTCTCTTCTATTTCCTTCTCTATGTATATCTGCCTTTCTTATAAAAATAAATAAATCCTAAAAAAATCTTTTAAAAACAAGATTTTATTCATTTGTTTCAAGGCAGAATTACAGAGAAAGAGGGAAGCAGAGAGAATCTTCCATTCACTGGTTCACTCCCCCATCGGCCGTAATGGCAAGGCTAGGCCAGGCCAAAGACAAAGACTTGGAACTCATCCACATTCCACACAAGCATGGTATGAGCCCAAGCACTTTGGCCATCTTCCACTGCTTTCCCAGGCACACTGAAGTGAGCTGGATCATAAGAGGTGCAGCTGGGACTTGAACCATCACTCATATGAGATGCCAGCACTGAAGGAGGCAGCCTACCCATGCCAGCCCCCAAACAGCATCTTAACACCTGCACTAACTGCCTATCCCCTCTCTTTGCACAACTCATTTATCATTGTAGTTTTAACTGCTGTCCATGTGCTGATGATTTAAAACTAGGTCCAACCCAGACCCCACACTGAGTAACACATACCCAGAGGTTTGACAGACATGTTTACCTGAATACTCCAATTCAAACTCATTTCCTTCCTGTTCAGACATGTTTCTCCAATTTCAGAAAATATGAGGATCATTCAGCAAGAAATTTTAGTCATTAGCAAAGTAATCGACATTTTGTCTTCCCTCTTTCCTCATATCTAATTGCGGAGTCGTGACAATTCAACTTTACACTTCCTTTCCTCAACTGAGGAACTGCATCACTTACACGGCAGGCCTCCTTCACCGGTCACCTTACCTTGAGCTCAGTTTTCACCCTGCCCCTACGGGAATCTTACTGAGTCCTGCTTCTGCTATTCAATCATGTCAGAAAAGAGTGTTCTGAAATCAGTGCAATCCTGACTACGACCTACGAGCTCTCCTTGAACCCACTCTCCCACCTCCACCTTCTCACATTGTCTGATGTGCACACAGTACTCAAGCAGTACTGAACTACATTTGCTTGCTCCCGCAGACTTCCCTGTTGCTAAATACCACGCACTGGTGATTTCTGTGCCTGGTGACCTTCTCATCCTTCTGGACCCACTAAGCACCCCCTCTGAGAAGTCTTCCAAGGTTACTCCTGGAGTTAAACTTACTCTCTAACTTTCCACATAAGTCTATTTCTATCACCACCATCAGGTTAAACCACTGTTTGATCCATCTTTGTATACCAGTCTGCACCATTTAATACATATTTAAATGAGAATAAATGCCCCTGGGAAAGCCAGTTTACTACTTCCAGAACACAAACAAACCTACACTATTCCTTTTTTTTTTTTTTAAAGATTTATTTATTTTTATTGGAAAGGTGGATATACAGAGAGGAGAGACAGAGAGGAAGATCTTCCGTCCGATGTTTCACTCCCAAAGTGAGCACAACGGTTGGTGCTATGCCGGTCCGAAGCCTGGAGCCTCCTCTAGGTCTCCCCTGCAGATGCAGGGTCCCAGAGTCTTGGGCCGTGCTTGACTGCTTTCCCAGGCCACAGGCAGGGACCTGGATGGGAAGTGGGGCTTCCAGGATTAGAACTGGTGCCCAAATGGAATCCAGGCACATTCAAGGCGAGGACCTTAACCACTATGCTATCGCACCAGCTCCAACTTACACTATTCTTACAGTAGCATATTTAAACCAAGACAACAAAATGACTTTGGAAAATGCAAACAATAAAAATGCAGCTATCACTCCATCTGAGACTGGCCACGGACCAGGCTCTTTTTCATTCTCCCTTATCCCCTAGCAGTCTCTGACTGCCCTATTGGGCTGCCATACAGCAAGCCAGAGCAAGCCAGGTTCTCCTGTGTGCCATGGGGCTACTCACAGACCCACGTTCTCACTATGCTGCCCCTGACAGGTATACTCCTCACAGAAAAGGACTCAGCTCCAGAACATCCACGGCCTGGGAAAGTAGTCGAGGGCAGCCCAAAGCCTTGGGAACCTGCACCCATGTGGGAGACCTGGAGGAGGTTCCTGGCTCCTGACTTCAGATCGGCGCAACACTGGCCACTGCGGCCACCTGGGGAGCGAATCATCGGACGGAAGATCTTCCTCTCTGTCTCTCCTCCTCTTTGTATATCTGACTTTCCAATGAAATAAAATAAGTCTTTGAAAAAAAAAAAAAAAAGAAGCGAGGAGCCTGGAGTTTCTTTCAGGTCCTTCACATGGGTATTGGGACCCAAGAATCTGAGCCTCCTCCACAGCTTACCAAGGCCATAAGTAGGGAGCTGGATGGGAAGTAGAGCAGCCGAGATTGGAACCAGTACCGATACGGTGAAAGCTTAACTTACCACACCACAGCACAGGCACCAGACACTGTTCCCTCTCCCAAAAAGGTGCAAAATGCTAAACTGTGAACACTGAGATGGGATTAAGTGGTCCATGCTTCGCATTTTAGCTAACCTTTACTTTGTCTGGAATGTCCTGCCATCTAGTGCTCCTTTGTTCCCCAAGTATCCTAGGCTCACCTACATGTATTCACTACACAGAGATCAGTAACAGACTGTACCGGTTTGTCTTAACTAGGAGATCCTCAAAAGCAGAGTCAGCATTCCTCACCACACATACCTAGTAAGTAGCACCAGGCCTGGCCCTGAAAGAGTTCAGCAGGTGTTGAAGAAACCTCTGGAAAACTGCCTCACAAGAGCGAGGGAAAGGGAACTCTACCCAGCATCTTCTGTCAGGCGTCTTACCTACAGAACCTCACTTAGGAGCCAGCATCCACCTGGGCGCCTGTCCCAGCTGCTCCACTTCGGATCCAGCTCCCTGCATATGGCCTGCAAAAGCAGCAGAGGGTAGCCCCAGTGCTCGGGCTCCAGCACCCACATGGGAGACACAGAGGAAGCTCCTGGCTCTGGCCAGCCCAGCTCTGGCCACTGTGAACCAGCAGATGAAAAGACCTTTCCCCACCCACCTCTCTGTAACGCTGTTATCCAAATAAAATAAAATATTTTAAACAATAAAATGCAGGTCTAGGGGCCGTTGCTGTCCATAGTGTGCTAAGCTGCCTGTAACGCTGATATTCTACGCTGCAGCATGGGGTGAACGAACCCTTGGCTGCTGGGCTTCCCATCCAGCACCCTGCTAATGTGACGGCACATGCAGAAGATCTGCATGGAATTCCAGACTTCAGGTGATGACCTGGACAAGTCCAATTGTAGCCATGTGGCAAGTGGACTACCCGTTTCTCTTCTCTTTCTTTTTAAAGGCTTATTTATTTTTATTTTGAAAGGCAGGTTTACAAAGAGAAAGATATACAGGGAGAAGGAGAATCTTCCATCCACTGGTATATTCCCCAAACTCCTGGAGCTTCTTTTGGGTCTCCCACATGGGTGCTGGGATCCAAAGACTTGGGCCATCATCCTCTGCTGCTTTTCCAGGCCATAAGCAGGGAGTTGGATTGGAAATGTGGCAGCCAGAACTAGAACAGGCACCCACTTACAATGCTTGTGCTGCAGTGTCCTGCTAAGCCATTGTGCTGGCCCCTTACTCTTTCAAATACATTAACAAATAAACGAAAAAAAAAAAAAAAAGGAAAAAACACAAGTGTGATCACCCTGTACTTTCCCCCAGCTTTCAAAAGATTTAAGGGGAGCGGGTCCTGTAGCACAGTACGTAAAGCTGCTACCTGCAGCAGCTGTTATTCTACATGGGCCCTGGTTTCAATCCTGCTTGTTCCACTTCTAATCCAGTTCCCTGTTAGTGCAGCTGGGAAAGCAGCAGAGGATGGCCCAGGCAGTGGGTCCCTGAACCCACTGGGGAGATGCAGAAGCTCCTGGCTTGGGACGGGCCCAACTGCCAGTCTAGAGGTCTATAACTCTGCCTTTCAAATAAATAAGTACATCTTTTTATTTTATCTATTTATCTACCTATCTACCTATCTATCTCATGTAATGTTCCTAACTGCTTAAAGGACAAGCTGCCACGATCAACCAAAATCTCCACCATAGCCTTATGCCCTAACCCTGCAAGTTCACTCCCCTACCAACCCTTTCCACACTCAAAAGCCCTGGCCTCCATTTGCTCCCAATAGCCCCATGGACCCAGAAGACAGTCCTTGGCATGCCTGACAACTGCAGTTAAAGTCTTCCCTTTTATTTCTGAAAACCCATAGTCCTCACCTCCCTGTCTGGCCACTATCAGGCTAGCCAGGCTCTGCCAGAAGACTGGTGACACAGTAATAAAGAAATCCAGTCACTGGTTTAGCAACCCCATTCGGAGTGTGGTCACCTCATCAAGAGCTGCAGGAGGATGTGGAAGCTGGCAAATAACAACAGGCCCCTACCCAGATGTCCGTCTGCTGGCATCCGTGTGTTAACAATACTCCTAGGACACGTTAAGTCTGAGCAGCGCAGGTGTCCAACACACACTGGGACATCTAAAACCAGGCTCTGCTTCTTACGTGCCCATGTGACCTTGGGGAAGCCGCCTCAAGCTCTCTGGAAGGCTGTTCCCTCATTTGCGGGGAACACCTCCCCACATCATGTGTGAGGGCTTCATGCAGCGTGTCAGCAGTGGGTGGCAACACGCAGTTTTGCACAGTGTACAGAACAAGCCAGAGGGGAGCGGTGTCGGGTCCTTCACCGAGTCAAGGGGCTCTTGGTTAAGTCCCCGAGCTGGGGCACCTGCTCCTCCAGGTACCCAAGTCCCCCAGCCGGGGCACCTGCTCCTCCAGATGCCCAAGTCCCCCAGCCGGGGCACCTCCTTCTCCAGATGCCCAAGTCCCTGAGTCAGGGTGCCCCAGGCCGCAGGGGGAGCGGCGCCGGCGCCTCCGGCGAGCTCCCGGTGCAGCCGGCCCCAGCCCGCCCGCGCGCCCGCCCGCGCAGCCCTCACCGGCTGTCGACACGGGCCTCCGCCGGAGAGCGTTATCCAGCAGGCCGGAGCAGTAGCCCATGAAGCCCAAGTACAGCAGCCGCGGGTCGGTGAGCTTGGGTGGGGGCAGGCTCCTGGCCTCATCCGGCAGGAACTTTAAAGGCACTCGGCCCTGCCGTGAGTTCAACATGGCGAGGCCGTTCCCACTTGGGGCTTGGTTTCCACACGGCCGCCGCACGGGCGCACAGCAGCCGCCACTTCTCCTCCGAGCACCGAGCTGAAGGGCAAGCGGCGCGGTGCAGCGCCCAAACCCTTCCCCGTGCGTGCTGACACCGCGACTCCGCACGCCAAGTTCCGGCCGTCAAGGTGACCCGTGGGCTCTCCGGCGGGCGCGGCTTCTGCAGGAGGTGCCGGGGTTCGGGGCCAGCAGGAATAAAGTGCTACAGTGGGCGCGAGTTAGGAACGCGGACTCTTTGTCCATCTTCCTCACCTGGAAATGGCCTTTTTTCCTGTCCCTTAGTGTCCATTCAGCAAAGCTTTATCTTTGCATCCAGCACCCACAAGTGGACATAATTGGTAATTTGAGAAACAAGGGAAATCCTATAAAAACTAGTTTGCTTTCCATTCTTTAATGAGGTGTGGGAGATCATCCCTGGATCTCTGCCTGTTTGGCCTATGTGGCAGGTGGTAGGTACACAATGAGTGACCTATGATATGATTGGAGGGTCTAAAGAGACATGACTTCTATCCAATTACAGTGCTGTTGTTGGGTGGGAGGACTGTTAAGCGATGCCTTTCTGCCTTCCCTGTAAGTTTGCGCTTGCATTACAATAAACGGGCATGATTGATTAGACTGTCTCTGGTGGTCCTTGTGTGTGAATACCATTGCCAGCTCCACTATCCAGCCCACACACATGCTGTTGGGTGCCTTTCTGTCTAGCCACCCCAGCCCCTGTCCTGGTTTTCATGCCCTCTAGTGGGAGTGGTGACCTAAGAGCGAGAAGCCCACTATTTCCCTTCTAGGCCACTCCCACTCCTGGATTATGCACTCTCCAGGTGGTTCTGCAGTGTAACTTGACAGACTTAGCCCCAAGTGCCAGCTTCTGCCAGCTGATGCTGCAGCGAAGCTCAACCAACTCTTACCCACTCTAATTTATGCTTGCACCAGTAGGAACAATCAGCCCAACCTGGCTTTTCCCTGATCTAGGCCACATGAGGTCCACAGGTGTTGTAGCCCTGCCTAGTCTGGTCTGCCCACATCCCAGCTCATGCTTTCCAGTGAGAGTGGCTGTCCAGCAGGGGAGCCCCCACCACATCCCCTGCCGACCCTGCCCCCTAGCTGGTCTTCTATGTGAATGGCAGGGACTTCTCTTATCTTCCCAGGTACATTAGCAGGAAGCTGGGCGTGAAGTGGAGCAGCTGGGACTTGAATTGGTACTTATAATTGGATGTGGTGATAGCTTAACCTGTTGCACTAGTATGCCAGCCTGTAAGTTCCAGCTACTTTGCATCTGGTCCAGCTCCCTGCTAAGCACGTCCTGGGTTACAGCAGATGAAGGTGATCCAATGTGCTCAGGTCACTGCTATCATATCAAAGACCCAGATGAGGTTTCTGGCTCTTGGTTTTGCTTCACTCAGGCCTGGCTGTTATGGTCATTTGGGAAGAGAACCAGTGGATGGAAGATCTCACTTGACCCTGGAAATGAGTGAATAAATCTTTAAAATGTCACTAGGTCCTAAATATTTAATGTGATTATTTCAGAGATGAGGGTATTGAGGCAAAGAATGCTTAAGCAAATTGTATAACAATTTAAAAAAAAAGCTCTTTCTGGTCAGATGCTTCCATTGTTCTAACACTTCGACTCTTGGCTGACCCAGGACAGGTCCTTCGGAGTCTGTTCAGCTGTATAGTTCTGCATGTATTCAGATGGACTTACTGCTCAGAGTACAATTTCAAAACTGGCCTTGGGACCCCATATTCCCATGAGTTAGATGAATCCATCAACTACTTGTGAGAATGCAGACCATGTGGGGGCATAGCCATTGGCAATGACTGCTCATGAGATGGATCCACAAACTAGATGAGATAGGAAGGCAGGGTCTATGCCCCTAATCAGCAGAAAGCATCTACAGAAGATATGATTTTGTGTTCCTCAGCAACCCCTGGAATTAAGGGTTGGGAAGTCTCTAAGGGGGAATGTGGTGAGGTAGGCAGCTAGTTCAGGGTCATGAGCTTGGAAGTCACTCCTCCAGTCTGTAGTGGATACTGATGAAACCCCCACCCGTGTACCATCTTGGAGACAGCATGTGGGTTGAGATATCACCCACAAACCCTAGAACCTCTCTGAAAAGGACCTTACCTGGTGATATTGAGCACCCCCATGGCTGTGAAGGTGGCTAGAATGAACCCCTGAATTCATCATTCCCAGCTAAAGAAGGCCACATCTGACCCTGAAGAAAAACGGACTGTTCCATACACTGGAGTACCCTTAAAGATAAGACTCTGTCATTCGGTCATGATGCTTTTATTTTGTATGAGTGGGAACTTCGGAATACAGGTATTCAGAAATTAACCATCAAGACCTTGCCAGTGTTCTGGGCTATATGTGACTGAGCTGATGATTTGACTCAAGTGTTAGAAGTGGGGAATGTTATGGGGTGCATGCAGTGACAGCCAGCACCCACTGACAGTAGGCAAATGAAATTTGGCTGTGTCCCCTACCCTCTGTCCTCAAGATGGGTCCTAACAGCAATGGAATGTTAATTTCATCTTCTCCCACTCCCCCCACCACCTAGGTATTCGCTCCTGCCCACCTGTGACTCACCTATCAACTGAGAGGGGATGGTATTGCATTGTTGTGTAACCACTCTCTCACAAGCCCCTTTAAAAGGCTTATGAAGCAGGGCTCACGCTCTCTCTTTCTGGTCAAGTACTCCCATTGCTCTGGCACCTCGACTCTTGGCTGACCCAGGACAGGTAATCCCCTGAGCATGGTCCCTGTGTACTGCTTAGATGGGACAGTAGATATAGCAATGTTATTTCTGGCTTGTGTGCTGTCGGGAGTTCCAGGAGAGGTGAGGCCTAGCAGTAGTGGAATGTGGGCAGAGAAGCCAGGGAAAGGTGAATGTCTGCAGGTTTGTAAGTGTGTCCAGGTTATTTGTTGCATGTCTCTTAGGATATCTTATATTGCTGGGGCAGCTGGGAGGTAGGTCTTGAGCTTAATGGATGAACTTAAGGGTAATGATCATTTGTTCCTCTTGGGGTTATGTTTGGTTGCATTATGATTGGTTGGATTGCCATAGGGACTTGTGATTTGCTATTTCTAGTATACTCTATTATCACCAAGCTTGCTTAATAAAAACTCCTTAATAAACCTTAGACATGTCTGGCCTGAAAACAAACAAACAAAAAAAAAACCAAAGCAAACCCAGGACAGATAGGACTTACAACCAGGTTGTGTGTGACTCAGGACCCCTCCTTTATTTTATTAATTTTTAAAGATAATTTATTTTTATTTGAAACATATTTTCCACTTACTGGTTTAATCCCCCTATAGTGGCCAGGGGTGGACCGAGTGGGTACTTGAAGCCCAGAGTGCCACTTAGGTCTCCCATATGGGCGGCAGTAGCTCAGTCATTTGTATTAGTGAGGAACTACATTGGAAGCAGAACAGCTGGGGTTCAAACTAGTGCCCAGATACAGAGTGCTGACATCACAGGCCGTGGCTTAACTGACTGTACCACAACACTGACCCAAGACTCCTACTATGCTGCGCTGCCTTTGTATGCACAGTTACATATTTGTGCGTATTCCCACACAGCAGTGGGAAGTACACCTAAGCAGAAGACAGAGTAGAAAAGTTAGCAGGAAGGAGGGGAGTCAGCCAAGCATGAAGAGGTACAGAATATAGCACAGGAGGAACCTGACATTACTAGGACAGTGGAACAAAAGGTACAGGGCGGACAGTGACAAGGAAAGCAGATTAAAGAGGTCACACTTTTGGGAAATCCTCACCTTTATCTTTGTAATAACAGGCTCAAAAGAAGTGTGGAGAAACAGAGCAGAAATAAGATAGGATAGTTGGATTAACATACAAGGATGCTGTTGACTATTTTCTCTGATCCAATGCTGCTGGACTTGGAATGTGCATCAGATACGAGGCAGACTGAAGTCTTGGATACAGTACGTACAAAGTACTCTCAAGGAGAGAAGACAAGAAGATGAGTGGTTTCTTTATCAAAATGGCAGTGCTTGTGGTTGACATAAATGAGAATCACTCCCAAGGAAGGAGTCACCGTGGTCTGCAGTCGGCTGCCTGGCCACAGCCGCCTATTACAAACTCCTACTGGCTTTGTGAGTACATCATTGTATCATGTCAATGAGAAAAAACCTCCTGGAACAAGGTGTTCCCAATGGACACTGCTGGAGTGCATGCCACCAGGAAAACGTACCTGGTAATGACCCAAGGATACTTTGTACAGAAATACAAAAGGACATTTTATTTATATTCTTCCCAGCATAGCAGATCAATTATTTTTAAATCCTGACAATGATCAGCATAGCCTAAAAATAGTCATGCTGCTGCTCTTCCTCCCCGTTTGCCATGAGCAAGTACGGCAGTCTGAATCATCTCAGACCACTGTAACGGGGAAGGCAGGATTTTTCTCAGATGTGGTTCATTGCTGATGGAGGGTGAGTGGCTTCTCACCATGGTGACAACTGGGTTGCTGGGCTGGGCAAGTCCACGTTTGGAAGAATGGTCCATCAAACAAATCTGCTGAAATAAATAATTCATGCCATTGGCACCTTTCCTCAAGTCCTGATTAAGTTCCTTGAAATAATTGCTTGGCATATGTCCAAACAGGTCCCTTATTCATTTTTTCTTTGTCTTGCCAACCGGAGGGCTGGACAATATTGAAACATACAGTTTAAACCAAGAATATGTGATGCCCACAGCACAATACACAGAGGTCAGTAACAAGGGGATGAACGGGTAGTTCAGCTTCCAGGATGTAAAAGGGAATATGAATTCACAGCAGATTTCCAGGGGCCCCAGGCCAAGGAGGTAGGCAGTTTCCATCCAACTAAAAAGAGGTTTTTCTTTTCTGAAGAAGAAGAAAAGTCTGATTTTAGATGAGTTATCTTAGTTTAGCAAACATTTTCCCACCTGAAACTTACCCACTTGCACTGTCTTCAGTTATAGCAGATGTATTTAAAGAGAATATTAACTTTCACATTTAGAAAATGTTTATCCCCAAAATTTAAACGTACCTTTTCAGCTACCTAC